GTTTCTTGATCTTTGACGAGTAATGGCTTCAGTAGGGAGGCTTTAAAAGGCACATATCCTCAGATCCCATGCCAAGACCCTACCCTTGGAGATCTGGATTCAATAAGTCTGAGGTGGGACCCTGGTACCAGTATTGTGGGAAAAGACCCCAGGTGATTCTGATGAGCATTAAAGGTTGTGAATTAGTGACCAAGGCCCACAGTCAGTTCTACAAGCCTGGATATGTTGAGGAAGATTTGGGGGAAAGAAGGGATTAGTCTAGTTCTGGCTCCATACCAGAAGGCACAGGAGGGCTGAAGAATTCCTGATGGTTTCAGCTCAGAGCCAGGGTCAGGCAGCTGAGCGACCCTCCTCCTTCCCTAAGCCACAAACACCAAGCAGATGCTTGGTGATTTCCTTACGGTAGACGCGCGTGGAATAATGGCACCATTACATGTTAGAAACTTTGTTCTTGACATCTCTTTAGAGATGCTTGAATTTCCTGTGGGTTGCAGGGCTAGGCAGTCTCAGGCAACCTCTCATTCCTCACTAAAAATGAAGACCACCCCCCGCGTCTCAAGTCTCCCTCTTCATGGTCTTCTTCTCCCAGGCCTGTGGGGTCATGGTCATTCACATTCACGGTTAAAAAACTATTTCAGTGCCTGCTGTGTGCCAGGATTGTTAGACATGTGACCCCAGTATTCCTAAACCCAATAACCCCCAAATGGGGCTTCCTTGAAGCACAAGAAAACAAATCAAAAATCTTTTCATTTTTAACTTAAAATTGTTTTCTCATTTTAGAAAAGCATTTTTGTACAATTTCCTCTTTTACCCTAAATAAACATCAATACTTCAGATTTTAGTTAATATAAAAATTGTAAATTCATTTTTGTGTTTCCAGTGAACAGCCAAAGCATTAAATCTTGCTTCATTTTCCCCCTCGGAAACAGACAATTCCCCTAAAATTTACCTTCTGCCTATCATATGCCTCAAAACTCTGAAAAAGAGCTGAATTTCAAAAATCAAACCATCAAAGGAAATAAAACTGAACAGTAACAGCATCTTCTGGATGGTTCTGAAAATAGAGGCTGTAAAATTTTTATAAAAATGCAAGAAAGAGTCTCATGATAAAATGTGATGGATAATAAGTTGCCTTACGATGCGGGCCACTAACTCATTATTAAGCCAAAATGGAATTTTAAACATTGTTCCTTTTGCATCTATTATTTTTATCTCAATCATGTTTCCTGAAATGGATTGTCTTTGGTAATTGTCCAGAATTTGTGGGAAACATTGGTTCAATAAAACTGTCATGATTGATTTTTGGAGGAAAATAGAATTCTGTCTATATATCTGTCTGTCTGTCTATTGTTGGACTGTCTAACCCTATTAAAAAGTACCCTAAATGATCTTATTTTGCATAAGTATCAGGTAGCTTATAATAACAATAGCCTATAAAATATACAACAGTGGCATAAAAGGAAATGGAAAGCTCCACCTGCCTCAGTGATCCATTGTTGTCTCCAGCAATATGCTCCCAGACTATCAGTTAAGGGAATTTTTTTTTTTTTTTTTTTTTTTTGAGACAGGGTCTTGCTTGGTCTCCCGGGCTGGAGTGCAGTGGTGCAATCAGGGCTTACTGTAGCCTCTATCTCCCAGGATCAAGTGATCCTCCCACCTCAGCCTCCCAAGTAGCTGGGACCTCAGGTGTGCCACCACCATGCCCATCTAATGAATTTTTAAAAATTTTTTTGTAGAGATGGGGTCTTGCTATGTTGCCCAGGCTGGTCTCAAACTCCTATCCTCAAGTGATCTTCCTGTCTCGGCCTCCCAAAGTGCTAGGATTACAAGCATGAGCCACCATGCACTGCCTCATTTTTAACAATATAAAGCCCTATGGAAGCTTTTTGTAATGTCCTCTATAGATATTCAAAAATTATCCCTCATCATGAGAAAAGCACAGAAACAAGGAGTAAGAGCAACTGTAGGAATAAGAAGAACAGCTGGCCAGGGCTTGAGATGAAAGCCACACCATTTTGGACAGCTCATCTTTCATTATTAGAAATGTTTGAGTCGGCCGGGCGCGGTGGTTCACGCCTGTAATCCCAGCACTTTGGGAGGCTGAGGCCGGCAGATCACGAGGTCAGGAGATCAAGACCATCCTGGCCAACATGGTGAAACCCTGTCTCTACTAAAATACAAAAAAAATAAAAATTAGCCAGGTATGTGCTAATTTTTAGTTAGTTGTGGTATGCACCTTTAGTCCCAGCTACTTGGGAGACTGAGGTAGGGGAATCATTGGAGCCCAGGAGGTGGAGGTTGCAGTGAGCCGAGATCGCGCCATTGCCCTCCGGCCTGGTGCAGAGTGAGACTCTGTCTCAAAAACAGAAAAAAAGGAAAATGTAAGAAGGCACATTTGTGACATAGTGAGTTATATCCTTGAGCGTGTGGCCCTTGTTAAGTGGGCCTTTAGAAAATAAATTTAAAACAATGATACTGGAAACTATATTTTCTGTTTATTCAGTCGGTAAGAGAAGGCGAGTGCCCTCACTTCCTCTTTCTGGGAACACAGCTAGCCTACATTTCTCAGATTCTCTTGCAGTTAATTTTGGACCATATGACAGAGTTCTGGCCAACAGAATGTTGGTAGAAGTGTCAAATGCCACCCTAGGCAAGGACCATGTTAAATCTTCTGTATAATCCTAGGTAATATCTATTTCTATTCTGTGGGGACTTGGGAGGCCATATATGGAAGATGATTGGAGTCTCTGATGGCTAAAATGGAAAAAGATTAGTCTCCAAATGATTGCATGGAACAGAGGGTCCCACATTCTTCTCCCAGCCAACCAGCACACATTAGGCTATTCTTTCCTCAAAATCCTGCCCTTTGACCAACATCTCCTCATTCTCCTCACCCCTGGTAACTACCGTTCCATTCTCTGCTTCTATGAGTTCAACTTTTTAGATTCCACATATAAGTGAGATCGTGCAGTATCTGTCTTTCTCTGCCTGTCTTATTTCACTTAGCATGACAGCCTTTAGGTTCATCCATGTCACAGATGACAGGATGTCCCTTGTAAAGGTTGAATAGTATTCCACCGTATATGTACCATGTTTTCTTCATCTGTCGATGGACACTTAGGTTGATTCCATACCTTGACTATTGCGAATAGTGCTGGAATGAACATGCGAGTGCAGATACCTCTCCAACATACGGACTTCACTTCCTTTAGATGTATACCCAGGAATGGGAGTGCTAGATCATATGTTAGTTTTATTTTAATTTTTTAAGGAACCCTCCCATACAGTTTTCCATAATGGCTGCACCAATTTATATCTCCACCAACATTGATTTATTTCTTATAGAAACGAAATTGGGAAGTATGCAGTCCTGGGCTGGGATGGTAACTTTAGGAAGTCATTAAATGAAGACGCTTCCTTCAGCCCTCCTCTCCAGCCTCCTTATAACGTGGCTCTCATCCTTGCGGTCCATTATGTCAGCCCAAGCTTCAGCCATCACATCCATATTCCAGACAGTGGAAAGCAACCAAGGGTCAAAAGGCATATTCACAGTCTTTTAAGGAGGCTTCCTGTAAACTGCACAAAACCCTTCCACGTACATCTCATTGTCCAGAGTTTGTCACAGGGAGATATCTAGCTGCAAAGAAAGCTGGGAAATGCAGTTTTTACTTGGGGGTAGTCACGTACTTGAGAGTTTTGTCACTAAAGAAGAGGGGGAGAACAGCTATTGGGGTAGGGGACCAGAAGACTTTACGACAGTTAATAACTGCAGGCTTCTTACTGTGAGGGAAAAGTTGGCTTATACAAAGTGCAATTTCAGACACACACCTGTGTTCACATATACACTTTTTAATTTATACTTAAAAATATGTAACCTCTATAGCTTGCCGTTTTCACCCTAGTCTTAGCCCATTAGAATTCCCCTGCAGCCAGTGAAGTAATGATTCTCCAGAGTTTTGGGCATAAACGTAACTTCCACCTGATGGCAAAAAGAAACATAAGGATACTTTACATTCTGTGTATCGGCATGCATAGAAATACAGTCATATGCCACGTAATGACGTTTTGGTCACCAATGAACTGCAAATATGATGGTCCCATAGGATTATAAGCTGAAAAGTTCCTATCACTGGTGACATATCCTTTGTAATATTATAGCACAATGCATTACACACGTTTACAGTGTGTGCAATGCATGAACAAACCTACCCGTGCTATCAGTTGTATAAAAGTACAACACGTGCAATTATAGACAATAAATGATACTTGATAATGATACTAAACAATGTCATTGATTTATGTTTTTACTATACTATACTGTTTATCATTATATTTTAGCATGTACTCCTTCTACTTATTAAAAGAAGTTAACTGTAAAACAGCCTCAGGCTAGCCCTTCAGGAGGTGTTCCAGAAGAAGACATTGTTTTTTTTTTTTAATTGTACTTTAGGTTCTGAAGTACCTGTGCAGATCATGCAGGATTCTTGCATAGGTACATACATGGCAATGTAGTTTGCTGCCTCCATCTGCCCATCACCTATATCTGGCATTTCTTCCCATGTTATCCCTTCCCGACCTCCCCACCTCCCACAGTCCCTCTCCTAGCCCCCCTCAACAGACCCCAGTGTGCGATGCTCCCCTCCCTGTGTCCATGTGTTCTCATTGTTCAACACCTGCCTATGAGTGAGAACATGCAGTGTTTGATTTTCTGTTCTTGTGTCAGTTTGCTGAGAATGATGATTTCCAGATTCATCTATGTTCCTACAAAAGACACAAACTCATTGTTTTTTATGGCTGCCTAGTATTCCATGGTGTATATGTGACACATTTTCCTTGTCCACTCTATCATCAATGGGCATTTGGGTTGGTTCCAGGTCTTTGCTATTGTAAACAGTGCCACAATGAACATATGTGTGCTTGTGTCTTTATAATAGAGTGATTTATAATCCTTTGGCTATATATCCAATAATGGGATTGCTGGGTCAAATGGAATTTCTATTTCTAGGTCCTTGAGGAATCACCACACTGTCTTCCACAATGGTTGAACTCATTTACACTCCCACCAACAGTGGAAAAGGGTTCCTGTTTCTCCACCCTCTCCAGCCTCTGTTGGAAGAAGACATTGTTACCACAGGAGATGACAGCTCCATGTGTGTTCCTGCCCGTGAAGACCTTCCATTGGGACAAGGTGAGGAGCTAAAAGATGGTGAGTGGGTGACCCCGACCATGTGTGTGCTTAGGCTCATGTGTGTCTTTGTGTCTCAGTGTTTAACAAAAAAGTTTAAAAGGTAAAAAACAAATTTTGAAAACAGAAAAAAGCTTACAGAATGAGGATAGAAATATTTTTGTACAGCTGTACAATACATATATTTGTGCTTTAAGCTAAGTGTCATCCCAAAACAGGCAAAAGTTTAAAAAAATTGAAAAGTTTACCAAGTAAAAAAGTAGAGTAAGCTAAGATTAATTTACTAGCGAAGAAATTTTTTTTTTTTTTTTTGGTGAGGCAGAGTTTCGCTCTTGTTGCCCAGGCTGGAGTACAATGGTGTGATCTCGACCGCAACCTCTGCCTCCTGGGTTCGAGTGATTCTCCTGCTTCAGCCTCCCAAGTAGCTGGAATTACAGGCATGCGCCACCACCACCAGCTAATTTTTTAGAAAAAATATTTTTTAATAACTGGAGTGTAGCCTAAGTGTACAGTGTTTATGTAAAGTCTTCAGTAGTGGACAGTAACGTTGTAGGCCTTCGCATTGACTCCCCTCACGCAATTGATTCACCCAGAGCAACTTCCGATCCTGCAAGCTCTATTCACGGTACGTATCCTAGCCTGATGTGCCACCTTAAATCTTTTATGCCTTATTTTTACTATACTTTTTCTACGTGGAGATATACAGATACTTGCCATTGTGTTACAATTGCTTATACTACTCGGCATAGTAACATGCTTGTAGCCTAGGAGCGACAGGCTACACCTCAAGGCCTGGGTGTGTCGTAGGCTACAGCCTCTAGGTTTGTGGAGTGCCATCTGTGATGTGCACACAAAAGTTGCCTAACGATGCATCTCTTAGCAATGTATACCTGTCATTAAGTGATTCATGGCCTTAAGTAATTACATGCATGTGTCCGTATATCATGCTCTGCTACTGTTTCAATGTAAGCACAACACGTCTTGTGCTTGTCGTATTGGATTTAGGGATAGACATTCTCTGTGCTGAGTCTGTTTCTCTCAGTGCCGTGTTTGAATGAATGACACCCACTTGCTGTACCTTCCATTTCTATAGCACCTACTACTTTATAGAATTGCGGAGACATTCTGGGAGAATACATATAAAACAGATAACTCTCTTTACATTGGATGTGTGGTAGATACTTTTCTTTATCATGTTTCCTGTGTATTCTATTTTAAAGGCACATAATATATACACCAAATTTCCTCCCCGTTTTCTATGACGTCAAGGACAACTCTCCATCCCCATATAATATTATTTGGTGTTAAAATTGTATCTAGCTTTCTCCCTCGTTCCCCACTCACCTATCCAGGTACATTCCTACATTGTATTTGTCTGTGCTACCCCCCTAACGTAACAGAATAAGAATGTTTCATACCAAAGATTTAGGATTTTGAGTACCCTCAGTGATCAGGTGTTAGAAGCATCCAAAAAGTGACCTCTAGAAAACTAGGGTTAACTGCTTTACATTTGACACCATCTAAATGCTTTACAAAGGAATATCTCTTAATTTCTCACTAATCCTATAATTAAGTGCACGCTAATATTGTCATTCCTGTTTTGACAGAAGTGGAAACTAAGGCTTGTATAAATTAAAATATAGTTACATAGCTAGGGGCAGCCTGTCGCCAACTGCAGGTGGCCCGCCCCAAAGCCCATGATTCGAATCACCGTGCCCTGCTGCCTTCAGCGTGGGCCCCGACAGAGCCATCCAGGGTCCCCATAGAGCCGGTTTGCCAAGCACGCAGTTGGGGGAGCACCGCTTTCTACAGCGTGCTCTGCTCGGAGACAAAGTCCCTCCCTGGGAAAGCCTACAGTCTAATTAGGAAAATAACGTGATCATATAAGATGACCGGAATACCAAATACTCTATCCACAAGAACCCACTGATCTCCAGGCTGAGGCATCCCGGAGGGTTCGTGACATACTGTGGGGGACCACCTTGCTGTGAAAGACGCACTAGTTTGAGGAAAAGGTTTTTTTTTTTTTTTTTTTTTCCAGGCAAATCGTGTCTTGCCATGAATTAACCACCAGCCATTTTCATGTGCACTCACTCATCCTCTGGCCACCTCAGTCATTTATCTGCAATCACGTTCACATATTCTGGGCACTGGAAGTTGGTTCAGTTAACAAGGAAGAAGGAAACTGATAAAGATATTGTTAATGGATCTCTTTGTGCATAAAAAGCACTCCCATCTTCCCTCCCACATGCTGTCCTGAATTCCCCTTTTCCTTCTTCTCAAAGTTTTACTTTTTCTCAGAATGTCTGTGTGTGCCATATGACAGTGATTTTCTGTGGTAATTGCTTTATTCTTCAATAAGAACCTTTACAATAGCAAACTCCTACAATACTTATGTGTAAATTAGGGCCGTTCCAAGGCAAAAAATTGAAACTTGCACGTCGTCATTTTTGATAAATTAAAAAAAAAATCCCCTTGAATGTGAGAATGTGAGAATTTTTGTCCTGTGCCAAAAAAAAAAAAAAAATTAATTCTTTTCTGCCTCATGTGTTCAGGTTTACATTACGGGATCTCAGAGAGGATAGATCATTAATTCATTTCAACACAGTCAGCTTACCAAAAAAAGTGTGTTTCATTCTGCTTTATACAAAAGTCGGGTGGCATTCTATGGAAATGCGATTTTACAATGAAAGTGCTCTCGGGCTATGAACACTGTTCATAAGCCGCTGGCTGTGGAGGGTAGAGGGTGGCTGCATCCCCAAACAGCAGGGCCAGCACGAGGCAAAAGCCACACACCTTATCTGAGGGGCCCCAAAAGAAAGGATCGCAGGAGCGGTATCTTTATTTTGCTCACTTGCAATAGCAACAACAAAATGATACCACAGACGAAAACTGTCATGTCCCACCCCCTCCATCTGTCCTGTGCTGTGCACCCTCATTCTACAAATTAATCTTTCACACATTTTTTAACAAAAAAAGTGTTAATGTTATAAAAGAAAAAAAAAACAAGGAAAACAGAAAAGGCTGTGTAGAAAATAAATTAAATTTAAATTTGATGGCAGTTATGACTTTTTTTATTGACTATAAGAGCAAACAGTCACATCAAATTGGTGCCACTGGCATATAATTAAAACTACAGGGCACCCTTAATGATCTCTGACAATGATCGCGTGTTTTTTTTTTTAAATATAGCACGCACATTTTGTCCAATTTGGGCTCTTTTTTCCTGTTGCTTTTGTCCTCTTTCTGAGTGGATATTATTCATGAACTGAGTCTTTATTATCTATTTGGCCATCTGCATAGCATTGGCCATAGTCCCCTGTATTGTAATTTTGAGTGAAAATAAGGACTGCTGGAGATTGCAACACTAAAAATAAATAATAGTAATAACACGCTTTAAGAACTCAAAAGCAAAAGGCGTAAAGAAAAACATTTGGGCTGGAGGTGAGCTTTGGAGGTACGTGGCGTGAAGGCGCTGCTGGGGGGACAGAAGTCATTCCATTCTCTCATTTAGCATCATAGAAGCTGGATGTTCACTCTGACCAAACTAACAACTAGTTGCCTTGATAGGATAATAGGCAATTCTGAAAGTGATGCTGCTTCATGCTAGATTGTCTTTTAAAGGAAACAAGTATTTGTTCTCTTAGTACTCTCTTGCTTCAGAAGTCCACAGACTCCATGGAGTGACAGCCCAGTAGCACGGTCTCCTTTGGCTATCAAGGTTTTAGCTACTGAATATTTATTTATCTTTACCATGTATTAAGCCCCTTGCTTTAGTTTAGTGAAGGCAGATTTTTTTTAAAGTTAAAATAGTAGAACGTATTTCCCATTAAAAAAATATGCATGGGAGAAAAGAAACTAACTGAAATAATTGTTTGCTTTCTAAAACTTTGTCTAATTTTATTTGTTTCCCTCCATTCTTCCCCCCAATCCTTTGGATATTTTCCTTTCTTTCTTTCTGAAATTCTCTTCGAGGTTTGCTTGTCTCTTTTTTCTTTCCACTTGTCAGATCTTCCCGGCAGCCTCTGGAAGGCCATCAAACCAGCTGATTGAAAGATGAATATGAGTTAGCAAAGAAACACCTTCCTGAACAGAGAAAATCTGTGAGACTGTAATATATGAAAATAACATTTTTGTTATTTTCAAGTGAAAATGTATAATATTCTATGTGTTTTTAAATGTTTCTTGATTTTTTTTTTGCTTGTAGTTTATTCCTACTAAACTTGAGGAACATGCAATTAAAGCTTTGCTTTCTCTCTCTCTTTCTCATGCCTTCTCTCTCTCTCTTTTTCATACACACAAACAGCTTGGGCTTACTACCAAGGCAGAATGAATTCTGTCAATTATCTCATTATTTAGAAAATGAGTTATTTACTTGCATTGAATTATGGTTTAAAATAACTTTCTTGTTGTATTTCTCTTTCCTTCCAAAATTGATTCATGTATGTATACAGTAATAACCTGAATGGCATAAAATTTTCAAATTTGGAAAGTTTGAGCTAATCACTTTAATATCCATATTGATTTACCTAAAAATAATGAAGAAGATCTAAAATCAAATGGGATAACCCAGTTTCCAAAATAGCCACATGTGTACTTACTCATGGCAAGTAAAATTTAGGGCATATGTATTTATTTATTTATTTTCATACCTATTTAACTTGCATAAAGTGGGTATGCTGGTCATTTTAAAAAATGATTGAGACTTAATTTATCGCTTTTAAGGCTAATTTAATTACAAATATTCCAATAGCCCCATAATGCTAAACTTTTGTATCTAGCATTAATGTTAACTTTAATTAACATTATATGTTTACATATTAATATTATATCTGTTAGTTACCTCTGTGAGATCTGCAGAAAATAAAAATATTATACTTTACACACCTGTCTTAAGACACACAGTTCCACTTTCTCTAAATTGGTGTGATAATCATTGATATTTTAAAACCTTATCCAGATGTGCACTTAATAATACAGTACAGATTTCTCTTTAACAAACTATATTTCAAGTCTGATTCTTAAAAAAAAAAAAACCCCAAAATTCTTCCCCCCAAATAGCTAAATCCATAGTCTGGAGTATGCACAATTGAGAGTCAAAATTTCCACTCTTCTAACATAAGAATAAAGTGATAAAAAAAAAAAACATGACATTAAAAATATTCTTTTAGCAATGTGATATAATACAATACTTTAAATAACACCAAAATACATTATACTTGTGTGAAACGGTCTGGGCCAATATCATACGCCTCAGCCCTTCCTTTGTGTTGTTCCTCCAGCCCTCACCCCTGCTAAAGTATTATACCAAATATTATCTGATACTAAACATTAGCTCTTAACCACAGCTTACTATTGCCCTGAGTTGAACTAGAAATTCCAAGGCAGAATAACAAATGAGGCCTCTCCCTCTACTCACTCGCATTCTGTGGGAGTTTTATAGTTGTTTGGGAAAGCAGGATTTGAGGAATGACATTCTAACATACTTAGGTAAAGTATGCTCATTCTAGAATATTTCTGTAGCTGGTTGTAAATGTCACAGACTCATCATCTCAGAAGCTATATAAGAAAAAGGGATCTCAATCAAATGTCTGACCAGATCCCTCCTTATGGCCGTAAGAGTTTAATTTTCATTTAAACAATAATAAATATAGGCATAAGGGTTTGAGATGAATTATGTAAGCCTTTTAGCTACAACCATTACATTCTGCCACCAAATGAGCTGCTGTTCTCACTTTGCTTTATGGGTTCTGCATAGCCCGTGTTATTGTATCTGCCAAATAAAACCCAGCAAACCATGCAAATGAAAATATAATCTTTTATCTCTCATAGTCCCCGCATGCACCCATATATACAATTTTATCAATTCCTTTGTACCAAATGTACTGTTCCTAGGACCCTACTGTCTTAATAGGACCTACAGAAAGGGAAAACACTTCTTGCTTGGAGGTATCTTCATTTATATCCACCAATAGCATGTTTCTGTAGCTGTAGCTACATTTGAAAAGTCAGAAATAATTCCTTTCATTATATTTTTAGCTCATTTATGTGGTTCCATTGAGATCATGGGTGTCCTCAAGGATAAAGACCCAAATGACTGTACGTTTTCAAAGGATGGCAGATTCTAATTTGTTTTAAAACACTGGAGTTTTTCCTTTTGATTTCAGAGTGGCCTAAATATCTGAGGAACAATGACTTAGTGAATTGATGATGAATTATCTCTGCAACTCACCAATATTAATTGGGGGCCTTGGACATTGTCACTTAGCCACTCCATTTCAACATTCACCTCCAAGTAATGAGAATAATAACACATCTTATGCCTATAAGAGATATTTGAGCAATAACTCACCTCTAAAATGCCTCAAGGATGAAATACCTCTTACATATACTAAAGAATTGCTATGCTTCTCCCAGGAGTAAAGTCTCTACCACATCCATCTGGGGTATTTCTAGGTTGGGTCAGAATGTACCCTAAAAAAGTAAACAGATGCTCTTGTGGTAGCCTACATAATAAGCTCTCCTTCATCCCAAGTTTAAAGGGAGCAGTTGAACATATAAAACACTGCTATTCCTGCTGGCCTTGGACAAATGCAAAGGTGTAAGTTACTTGTTTTCATTATCTCCCTTCCCTTCTTTCCTCCTTCCCTTCTCTTTTCCTTCTCTTCTACCCTCTCCCTTACTTCCTTCTGTTCTCTCCCTCCCTCCCTTTCTAGAAATATTTCTTGAATGCTTATTATGTGCCAAGCACCATTCTAGCTGCTAAGGATACAGCTATTATCATAGAAAGAGTCCCCATCCTGAGGGAGCTTACGATCCACCAAGGAAGATAGGAAACAAAAAACACAGTGGGTGTCTTTGATGGGGAATTGTCCTGGCCCACCTTATCAAAGTAGTTCAAGAGTATTTCCTTCCAATGCTAGTTCATGCATCTGCTTATGAGCCAGGCCAAATATTTGTACAGAGGCTGATGTCACTGGAACCAGGCCTTACACATGATAGGTGTCCAGTGGCTGTTGAATGAATGAATTTGTTTCTGAAATGTGATCAGTTAGCTTAACAAATAGTTCATATTCCTCAATGAAATGTCAGTACATACCTACAATTTCCCCATAAGGTCAACCTAAAACTATGTAATGAATGTGCTATGAAATTCTTACTCTATATTAATATGAACTCTATAAAATCTAGTTCTTATTAATCTGGTCTTGCCAGAAAAACCAGCCAAACTAGTGACCTAGGTATATGAGTGTTCACGTGAGTACACACACACACATACACACACACACATTGCCCCAATTGCGGCAACTTCATGTCTGGAAAGAGTTAAATACTGAGTATAGCCTACATTATTATTTTTTTAAATTCCTTATTCTTTTATCAAGTGCTCTCCTCGCAAAACCAACTGAGTATATTCTAGTCTTCTTCGCTCTTGGGCTAGCTATTTCATGAAGTATTATTTAAGAATAATTTGCAAGACAAAAAATGGTGGCATAATCAGCAGAGCCCAGGAAGAAGTATGAACATCTCTGCTTCATTCACCTCTCTGCTGCCACTGCCACGCCTACCAGCACCATCTCCACCGCCGTGGCCTCTACCATACACCACTTCCCACTGGGATCTTTCCTTGTCTTCAGCTGTCTTCCATTATCTTTCTTCTATACCGTCACTATCTTCTCACCATTCTTTACAGCCCTCCTGTCCCCTGTAAAGCCATTGTCCCATATACTGCTCTACTCCGTCTGTCATTTGTCTCTGTCTAAAATGCCATTGTGTATGTGTCTTTGTTACGCAGTCTCTTGTCACTGTGTGTTTTGGTGAGCCTGTGTTCCTGCATCTGTCCCATATCCCAAGCGCTAAGGTACAGCGTGGCATTGTAGACCAGTTGTAAGTCTAATTTCCTTTTTTTGGACCCAACTTTTTTTTTTATTTTTTTTGCTATGACCTTGCTGAACAGCCTCAGTTGTGTAAAAGATCTTCAGAGCAATGGGTTTTCAGTTAAAACATGTGACAGTACATTAATGTACAGAGACAGAGAACAAAGAAAGCTTCCAGGCCCGTAGAAGGAATTTGAAATGCGTTTTCTCTGAGTTCATATTCAAGAACCACTTTTCCTATTGTCTCCCATAAAGCTATTACTGCAGCTTCAATTTAAAATGCTTATTTTTACTGAGTTTAATTTAGATACACATTTGCATTGTAAAATGGGTACTTTAAAAATAATCATTTTAGTCTTCGGCATAAATGCTAGTTCTTTGTAAGAGAAGTAACTTCCTGAGTTGCATGTTATTGCTAAGGGTGAAGTAAATTTCTGGAGTGAGATTTAACCTTCTGTCTGCTCTTATTACCACGAATAGTTTGAATTTGGTATATATCAAGGCTTTTGTGTTAAATTGATAGAATTTCTTTATAACCAGAGTTTGATTAAGACAATTTTATCTTATTACAGTAGTTAGGATTGGTAAACACTTATTAGGCATCAGCAACATATTAGTTACTGAAAGAAAAATGAAACCTTATCTTTGTCCACTGGATTCACAATGACATTTATACATAATGAAGCTCTAAGAGGGAATATTATTTCATGTATTGTTGGCACCTAGCACATGGTGGAAATCTAACAAGAACCATGATAATGCGTTTCCTGTTTCTCTAACATATAGTAAGTTCTCAGTAAATAATTTCTAGATGTATCATTCTCCCTTCTGCTGGTTTAAATCCAAGAAGGTGCTGCATTCAACAGTGGAGCAAGCACAGAAGAAAGGAAAAATTTCTCCCTGTACAAGAATGCAGACAGATGCTATTTCTATCTTGGGGTCCAAAGCACAGCAGCAAACGCACAGTAGGTGTGCTATTAATATTTCCTGGTAACCCCTCTTGTTCTCTTCATTTCACCTTTTCTAAGTTCATTTGCAAACCAAATTTCTACAAACTCTAATTTAAGCAACTTAAAAGAAGAAAAAATATTAGCATTCAAATATTTAGAAGTTTTATTCTCTCATTTTGAACAAAACAACTTCTACTTACTAATATTGTGCAATATTTTAGCACAATTAATACCTTGAAGATTTACATTATTGAAGGGGGGTTATATCATAGGTTCATATTAAATCTTTCTTTAATAGAATTTACTCATCTGAAAGTCATGTTTAGTTGGGTTATTTTAAACGGTAAATCTTAAAAAGCCCACAGGTAAAATGAGTGCATCTTTCAATTATCCAAAGTAATGCAGCCTTCAACACAACAGATAAACTCCAACATCTGGTATTCAAAAGCATGTGATTTTTAAGGACAGCAGACGTGTCTTTAGAAATGTGTTTTGTTTGGGATAGCCTTTAAATAATTTTTAACAGATTGAACTCCCACCAGTGAATGACATGAAGGCATTCTGTGGCGCAAGAAAGCCAGCCAGCCTAGGGTTCAAGAGGCCTGGGATTATATACAAAGTGAATGATGAATATATTTACAGCACAAAGTTAACTATAAAAGCCATCATTGTGTGCAATTTTTTTCCATGTGCTATACGGTATAATGTATTTTATGGGAAGCCTGAAGGAGATAGAGGGGGGAGAGAGAGAGAGAGAGAGAGAGAGAAGGAGAAGAGGGTTGAGTTGGGTGGCTACTGAAATACCTCTTTGCTTTTAACCTAAATTCTCTAAAGTGGCCTTAGTCCCAACCAAGCCTGAACTATTGGCCTCCTACAGCCATTGTGCTGTCTATAAAAGCACTGATGTACAATGAGCAACGACAAACTGGCTGCACAGGAAAAAGTTTTAGGGAGACTGTATCTTTTGCTCCTCTCTGCCCTTAAGCCTCAGAAGGTTTGAATCATTGGTGTAGGCTCATTCTGCTTTCACTGGTACACTACCAACGCGTGGTGCAAACCTGCTAAGGATTTTTCCTCAAGAGTTTCTGATAAGATTATTTCTGTCTTCAGGGCTGAGAATCAGGCTGAATTATCTCCAATGCAGGGCTTACCATAGTTTAGGAATTTAATAAATAGATTCAAGTATCACAGAATTTATAACCCAGGGAATATGACATAGAATGTGCTTTGCAGAATTATGAATATACTCTATAGATAAGATGAGAATATATTATAGAGAATTATAAATACATAAAATATGTATTTTAAGAATGATGCTATATAAAACATGCTCCCTGTTCACTTCATTGTTGTGATGTGTGTTCTGGTTTGTTCCTTTTTTTTTTTTTTTTATCTTTGTTTTTTTTTTTTTTTTTTTTTTTTTGTTTTTTTTTTTTTTTTTTTTTTTTATCATTATCTCAACTGTGTGTCAGTGTTTCCTCCTCCCTTTAGACAATATCAACCTGTTCATTTCTAAAAGCCAGAAAGGGACAGAGACACAGAGAGAGAAAAGTCTAACGAAGTTCATAGAGATTCATGCATGCTGTGATATTGAAAGTGAGTGGCTTAACAGAAGCTTGAACAAACTTTCCAGTTTAGTGTATTTTTTTCTCTCTACGTTCAAAATCAGGTTAATCTCTACTTACGTTTTGTTAGATTTTATACTTATTACCAATATAATACCTTAAAATACCTGGTATTTTACTATTGTTTGCCTCCCTAATTTTAAAACAAACTTCCATTCATATAGGAAGTTAATACATTTATAAAATATCAATATCCAAAAACCATTTTCTGAGACAACTTTTTCAACATGACCTATTGCATAAAGTGTAATAAAAACACTGAGGTTTTTCCGAGATTTGAGCTGTGGTTCACACTTAAAAGACACTCATTTTATGGAGCTGCTCATCAAATTCAATTTTATTTGATTCATCAACATTTTATACTATTAAATTGTTATTAGTTGAAACGTATATGTTATTAGCACATAAAACTTGTTCCCTGGCAAGAAAGATTCATTTGTTATCACTTTTAATTTCAGGACTCCTGGAAAAGTATGGATTAACTGGAACTTTACAGGACTGGGTTCCTCCAGGGAGGACCATGGTAGCTTTTCCCAAGAGCTGAGAATACTTTTTGCCCTTTTCCCCCCACTGTGGGGGGTGGGGGAGAAGGATAGATTATTGGCTAAAAAAACCAAAAACAAACCACAAAACTCTGTCAAGTGTCTTTGTATCATGGTAATATGCTAAGCCTATTATACAGTGGTAAACACCCTACTTTGAGGTGCTTAATTGAGGGGGATATTTACACTTTGACTTATTACCTTCCATGGTTCCAATGGGTATTAAATAAAAAATAGTAATCATTCTATATTATGCTCTCTCTGATATCAGCCTATTTTTACTTAAAGTTTTCATGGTGATAACTTTCCAAAGGATTAAAAGTATCATCTGTACAGTAAGTTTATAGGACACTTTAAAACAAAGAGAGTAAAAACAATTTTTTCAAATGTAAAAAAAGGGCATGAAATACAGTCACACTACGGGACTCTAGATAAAATGGTTGTAGCAATTGAGGGGCAACAGATTTGCTTCCTTAAATATGCATTTAATCTATATTTTCTGGCCACACTGCTGAGTTCCCAAAATGGATTCTAGAGATGACTATTAGGGATACACACACACACACACACACACACACACACACAAAATGGTTACAACTTTTGATGTATCAATGTTTTCTCCTGCACATCTTTGGGGGCTGTTATTCTACTTGTAGGTACATTCTACAAAACATTTTGTTAGAGCTACACTCTGGCTCTAGATGCCGTAGAGCTGAGTTTCTTAAGCTTTCTGTAGATAATGTGAGTGTCCTAATATTTTCATGAGTTGTTTAATATCCTGAGACTATCAATTACTTTATGTCTACTCATCTAGACATCTGTCACTCTATTTTTAACTTTTAGTAGATGAGAAACAGCTTTGATAACGCAAAATTTCTTTTTCCCTGAATTTATTGGTAAAACATGGACTTTTCACATCTCATTTTGTATGCCTGTATATTTCATCCGTGAATAGCATTTATAAATTTCTCTACCTTGAAACAGGTCAGATGGAAATTGGGCCTTCTATCACTAGACTGAAAAGACCCAGAATTCATCGAAAGCACAGATAAAACAGACTTCATGGAATACAAAAACTGTAGTTCTCATAAGATATCCTTGACCTCAGTAGTGAATCATGAGGGTGTAGAGGGTTGAGAAAAAAGTAGACACATCACTGTTTCTAACAAGATATCCCAGAGTTATTTCAGTTCCAGGAATTTTGTGTGCTCCTGTTTTTACTTCATTAGCAATTCAACATGTCTGATTTGTCCACACAATACTTTCTACTTTACCCATTTGACCTGGAACAAAGTGAAAGCACATTTTGCCCAGTTGAAAGGTCTCCTGGCAAGTTGGTTAGCAACAGGCTTGCCAGTCTGGGTTCTGTTAGCAAAGAATAAACACATTTCATTAGACAATGACTAGTGGACTGACTTCCTCACTATGCAGTTTTGTTTTTTTTCTATTTTCTTTTCTTGAGCCATTCCCGCTCCCCCACCACTTGTTATTCAACTTTTTACTTGTAATTCTTGCCTCAACACGATTTCCAGTTTCTTGACGGCAGACATTCCCACGCGTCTCTGTGGCCGTGATTAATGCAGTTTAATCGCCAAGAACAGGTACCGAGTGAAAGTTTCTTCGAGGGGAAGGAAAAGCGACACAGCAGCCTTCCATCTTCCCTCGGTAGTTTAAAGTTGTGGCTAGATACGTACCAATTAAGGAATCAAGCTAAGGCGTCTGCAAGTACCAATTTTACTGCAATGCTCTAAAATTTGGTCACTCGGGGATGTCTTGCAACAGTGTAAGCATACAAGCGACGGGAGCGTTTCGAGAGAAAGGCAGGCGCCCTGCCCCGCTCTGCCCGTGACACGATGACGTCAGAACGACTCCCAGAAACTGTGCCCGAGTTGCTCGCGTCCCCAGCGCCCCGATGTGCACCTGGGCGCGGGACGCCGCAGGACGAGCGAGAGCGTTCCTCGCTCCCGCTACCCCGCGCACGGCCAGCCCAGGACCCGGGCGCCGTCGCCCCGCAGGAAGGAGCAGGGAGAGACAGCCGAAGCCGGCCTGGAGCCCTGCGTGTCCCCGGGTGCCCTGCCTCTCCGGGACACCTGCGCAACTCGCGGTGGCCAAGCCCCACTACGTTTAAAAGTGTATTTGTGGTTGTCACGGTGCACACCAAAAGGCTCGCTCCGCGCCCCCAGAGTGCGCGGGGCCTCCGAGCCTGGAAACAAGCCCCTCCCAGCGCAGCTGTCGCCGCCGCCTGCGGGCTCCTTTCACTTTCTCACGGCCAAGTCACCCAGAGGGGCGCCGCCGCTGCCACCGCCGCTGCGCCCGAGGACTCCGCCCCGCGCCGCTCCGCTCCGGGCCCCCGCCCGCCCGAGCTCCGCCCACCCCAACAGTTGCCGCCTGCGATTGGCACGCGCGGGAGGGCAGCTCCGGCTCGCCGCCCCCATTGGCTGGGCCCCCTTGTCAGTCCGACGACTGCCCGCCACCCCCTCCGCCTTCTCGGAGAGCCGCCCTCCCATTGGAGGAGTCTGAGGCCTGGGGGCGGGCGGGGAGCGCCGGTCCAGCCGCTTTCGGTCAATCGCAGAAGTCCAACGCCCGGAGGGAGGGAGGCCGGGGAAGGAGAGGGGCGGACCGAGGGGGGAACATCTGGCCGGCGCCGCCGCGTGCGTGCGTGGTGCGTCCTCCCGCCCCCTCCCCTCCCCCTCCCCCGCGCCGCCCCCCCGCGCCGCCCCCCCACCCGCCCGGCGGCTCCGCGCTCGCTCCCTCGCTCGCTCCCTCGCTGTGTCTGGCAGGCTGCGGCCGCCGCTGGGCTGCTGCCATGGGGAGCCGTTGAGAGTGGGGCCCTCTTCGCTCCGCCGCGCTCCTCCGGCTGCCAGCGGGGGTGGGCGGGAGGGAGGGGCGGGGGGGAGCGGGCGACGGAGCCGGGATTGGGGGGTGGGGGGGCCGGGAGGGAGGGGGGCCAGAGCCGGAGGAAGCCCACCAAGTCCGGCGGCGGCGGCGGCCGGGAGGAGGAGGAGGAGGAGGCGGAGGACGCGGCGGCGGCGGCGGGGACGCGGTGACTTAGGGCCGCTCCGTGTGAGTCCCGGCGCCGGCCCCTGCCCCTGCCCCTGCCCCGGCGCCCCCTCTGCGCCCCGGCTCCCCGGCGGGCGGGGGGCGCCAGCTGTGCGGCCCCGGCCGGCGGGGCGGCGCGGGCGGAGGGGAGGGCGGGCCGGGGGCGCCCCCGCGAGTGGAGTTAGTTTGTGTGGTCGGGAGCTTTGGGGAGGCGGGGGGCGGCGCAGCTGCGGGAGGCCCGGGCGCGGGGACGGGGCCGCTGCAGCTGCGGGGTCGGGCGGGGTGCGGGCTCCCGGCTCCGCGCCGCGCCCCCGCGGGCCGGTGCAGCTGCGGCGCGGGGCGGGCTCCCGGCCGGTGCAGCTGCGGTGGCGCCTCCCGGGTGCGGAGGGCGGCGGGCTGGGGGAGGGGGCTCGGGAGCCGCCGCAGCTGCAGTGGCGCCCGGGACGGCCGCGGCTCCGGGGACCGGTGCAGCTGCAGTGGCGCCCGGGGGAGGGGGCGCGGGGGAGGGGCGCTCCCGGGCGGGTGCCGTGGCCCGGAGGCCCGGGGGTCGCGCGCCGCGGCGTCGGGGGAGCGCTGGCAGCCACCCTCCTCCCGCCGGCTGCTTCTTACGACTTTTCTTTTGTTGTTGCCGTGACCCGGGTCTGTGCTCTCCGCTGTTGCTGAAGGTGTTTTCCTGCTGCACCGGCTCTGCGCCCTCCGCCTCCTTCCCTGTGGTTTTTAACCTTCCTCTTTCCCGAGTGTTTAATGCACGGCGAACTACGTAAAGATTTGCACTGCTGCCCCGCTCGGCACCCCCGCCCCCACCTCTTTGAAAAACAAAACCCCAACCTCACAGAACCTCTGTGGATCCGCGGTAGCGAGACGGGAAGGGGTCGATTTGTGGAGTGGGAGAGTCTGGCCCGTTGCGGTGCTTGGGGCTCATTAAACTGTCACTCACCCCCCACCCCACTGGGTAAATGGGGTGATTAATGTCTGATATGTTGGAATGGGGCGAGGGCATTTGTGGAGAAGAGGTGGTGTGCCTGGGAATACGTGGATCTCCCAAGGATGACTCCTGGACTAAGCGTTCAGAATTATGTCACTCACTGCGAAGTTGGAGAAAGTTAGGTTTGTGACTTTGGGGAAGCGAGAAGGACAGGACGGAGTCGTCGGGTTTTGTTACTCTTTAACTCTGCCACGGCTTCCTAATGGGAACGAAGTGGGTATCACCAGGGCTGGGACGCTTGCGCCTCAGGCCCCAGTTCCTTTTCTACCCCTCGCCCTCCCAGCAGTTTGAGGAGATGTATTTGACATTCAGAGATGTCGCAGCACCCTGCCCGGCCCCCGGTCAGCCCAGCCCGGGTCGCGTTACAGGTTCATCAGCTATTAGAAAAGAACCACAAACTTTGGTCAAAAAGTTCTCAAACTTACTAGACCCGGCTTCTCCCCACACAAAGATTTTCTTGTGATCGTAAACATGACAGAGGGGACCCCCCCCCCCGCAAAGAAGAAAGATTGTTAAGGGACACAGATCAAAGGGAAGGCAAGGTTCTGCTTTTTCTGAGCAGAAAGATAAGATATGCAGGTGCAGCCTTCATTTTAAGTGACTGTAGCAGGTTGTATCAGTTTATTAATTAGTCTCATTGAACTGAAGTACTTTCCAGGATTTTAGAAAGTGCAGTTTCAGCTTGTTGGTACTGAGAATTGAAATTTGCATTAACTGTGGCAGTGTAAGAAATTTTACCGAGAAGGTGGTTGTAGACAAGTAGTTAAATAAGAGGGAAATAATAAGGTGAACCAGTATGAAGTAATAGTTCTGAACAAGTCTGCCAACGTTTGAGACATGTATACCATTATCTCAGCAGAAAAAAAAAAAGTGCGGCAATAATGTTGAAATGGGACTGGAGATGTCAAATGGGTTGGTTTAAAAATATCCCTAAGAAACTAAACGTTGGAGTTAAATAAAAGTGAATCTGGATTTCCTGAATAGCACCGTGGCTTGAGTATGCTGTCAGTATGTAAGCCAGTCCACCAACTTAAGACAGAAGTGTTGCTATTCCATAAATACAGTAGAACTCCATATGCTGAGTTTTTCAATTTCTTCTGTTAGAAAGTTTGGAAAAAAAGGAAGACTTTGAAGTATTTTGTTTATACTAACAGAAGAGAAAAGTTCTCCTAAGAAAAAGCTGGTGGCAGGAGTGTAGAGGAGTAGCATATGGCATTAAAAGGAGCACAGCTGGAGGTAGCATTTCCATCTGAACATGATGTCAGAGCAGCTGACAGCCTGCCATCCCTCAGCCTTTTATTCTAACACACAGACAGGGAGTTAGTGTGTGCGGATCTGTGGTGGAGAAGGTATCTCATTCCTCTCTAACATCATCTCCACTTTGCATCTGTCTCTCTTAGTCTGCTTTTTTTCCACCGATGTAACAGACCTGGAGCCAGCAGGACTCAGAGGAAAGGACTTAATCAGGTTTATGTGTCCTAAAGGTAGGAGTAGCAAGAGATTAGATGGAGCATATTTCTGTTTTGGTGTTTTGTTTATTTAATTTAAAAAATCACATTACTTTTCTAACCCAGTTTAGGAATAATATATGAAATTGAGTATTAAATGAACATCTTACTGGAGTTGAGAGTCTTGAGCTTGTTGAGTTTTAATTTTTTATCCCTTTTACTTGAGCGAATAAATAACTTTAATACACAGAAATATTTCAAGTTTGGAAATGCTAAGAAAGGCTTTGAAATATTGCTTTTGGAAATCACGTTGGATTAAAATGCTTTTTTGTTCACTGCTATTTAGATTTGATTGGGGTGGTGGTGGGGAAATAGTAAACTGTCTGGAATCCAGCATTCAAACTTATATGAGAAGATTATTCTAGTTAAGAAGCTAGATTGTTGTGTAATTAATTCCACTGTGAAACTTTATTCTTCAAAACATTCAGCAGCACTACTGAAACATACAGCTGTAGTGCTTTTGAAACTGAAGGTTTTTTAAGAAGCAGAAGAAGAAGAAAAAAAAGACTTTTGTCCCCAGTAGAATAGTTTGACTGGTTTCCTCATTTCTCTTTCAAATATATATTTAAGAGATCTTTTATTTCAGCATAACAATAATTATTTGCAGGAGTTTTTGTGTTAGCGACTAATTTAGAACTTGTAGATTTGAGCTGCCTGAATTGGCCAGACAGCTGTAATCGCACTCCTCTATTCTTAATCTCTTTATCTGGGCAGCAGCTGCCATATGGCCACAGTCAGCTGGATCAGATGTTTATAAGCTTCCTTCTTCGTCCCTCTCTGTCCTCTCAGCCTCCTAATTTGATCACGGCTACCTTGTGAGCTGCCCTCCAATCTTTATTTTTAGCCCTCTCAAGGATTAGGATTGATGTTAGCTGCGGGGCACTTAAAGTGATTGTATTGTAAATCTTAGTTTATTCTAGCAGTGGCATCTTGCAGAATGTGTTTGGGGTTAGGATAAACTTTTAGTCTATCTTGCGCAAAGTGTAGAAGAGGAGGAAGAAGGGAAGTAATTTCTGAATATTCAATTAAGTGTATCTATTCCCAAAATGCACTTGCTGAGATGGATGGTGTGGAGCCTTGCTTCTGGTCACAGGGAAGGGGAAGTCGGGTCCTCTTTATTTTTGAGGAGTTTACCCACTGCAGTTGAATTCTGACCCTTTGTACATCTTTGCCTTTCCCCTACCTCCATTTCACTTTTCCTCATCAGAAAAGGAGGGCAGTGATGAGTATTTGCAAGAATAGAAGCTAGTGGGAAAACACCAATATATCAAATTATATTGAAACAAAGTATTTTCTGTTGGCTGAGGTAAGGCAGAACCAGGGGAAAAAAAATAGTTTCTCTTTTTCTAAAAAGGTTTTTTAAAAAAAGTTGAACCTGTAAAGCTTTTGAGTTTTAGTTCAGCATTGTATGCCTTTATTTTTAAAAGTTTGAATTAATTTTAATATGAAACTCATTTTGCCTTGCAATGGATCAAAGTTTAGATGAGAATTTTCTGAGTTAAATGAAGCCCTTCTGGTTCCTAATATTCTAAAAGTACAGTTTCTACAAAGAAATACAACTTTTTTTTCTCAGTTCGTTTTTCAAAATCTTTGGATTTGTTCATAGTAAAGATGATCTTTTCCATCTGTTGGTGCAGTTCCTTCTGATCTCGTACATGTGTGCTATACCTGCAAATCTGAAGGCATTAACATCTGTTTTTATACACAGGGCTTTTGTTGTAACACTCTGACTTTAAAAGTAAGTTGTTTGCCAATTTCTGGACTAATTATGCGATTTCATTTTTTTCTTGATTCAGCCAAATTTGTGTGTGTGTGTGTGTGTGTGTGTGTGTGTGTGTGTGTGTGTGGTTTTAAACTGTGCTAAGTACAGTCAAGTAGCAAAAGTAAAAAGATAAAGGATGGTCGGACAAGTTTTCTTGTGTCTTCCAGGATATGTCTGGGGACATTTCTTTGTTTGTTATATGAGTTGTTCCCTTTGAAATTAAAGCTATTTTGTAGGGTTTGTAGGACATAATTTGATAAGTAGAGTTAATCAAATTTCTTCTGAAAGAGATCTAAATTCTTATTCTTAGTGAGAGGCTGTAGTTAAAGGAAGGCTTTTGAAACTTGACTGAAAGTTCAAGGAAGA